GCGAAATAGATACTTGGGGGGGGGGGACATTATATTTATGACCCGTGTTCAAATCTCGCTATTGCCATTACTTATATGCCTGGGTCCTGTGTTCTGTACCTATATATCTACCTATATCAAAATCACATATAGGATATTTGCATTTATCAACTTATATTCATAGTGCGTACATATACATAACAGTTCTTCAGATGTTCGATGTTTTCTATTCGTAACTTAGCATGCCTAAAAGAATGATTTTTTTGTATTGAGTGTCTTCAGTTTCTCAAATATGGGACAAGAATTTATTGTCTGACTAACCTGGTACTATCCTAGAACAATTTGGTTCTCTTGACTTGTGAGCCACCGCTTGACTACGAAGAAACAGGACCCCTGAAGAACATCATTGGAAATAGGTGTTCCTTGAAAATTTCAAAAAAAGAAACGGTCTTGTTCCAATATATGCTATACAATATTTACTTACATCACTGGCGCGCTAATCCTCGAAAAGTTTGCAAGTTGATCACAAATTGCATATCCTGTGGTTTTCGGATCGCTGATTACGCATCTGTTATGATAATTTCCAAATTTTATTAACGGGGGAAATAGAGTACATATATATGGGAATCGATATCATAATTTATAAAACTGTATAACTGTACCAAAATAATTAGCCTATTTTACTCAAAAGCGGTTCATTATATCGGAGTCAAACAAAGAAACAATTGTAACACATACATATGCAGAATTATGAAATAAAAAAAAGTGTTTACTTAGACCATTATTATACAGGATCTAAAAAAAGTTGAAGTTTTGTTAAATCTATTCCGTTCTTTACGAATTAAGTAAATGAACAAATGAGTTCTGCAGTCTAGCACTATTGATTTGAAAAGGGCGACAGATGTTATTACTGATACAATGAATGTATTAAAACAGAAGAGAGAACAGGCAGATATAGTTTTTAGACAAGTTTTCGATGAGGCAAAAGAAGTAGCCGCTCTTTTATACGTCGATATTAGATGTCCAAGGATAGTATCAATGTAAACACAGAGGGCAAATAACGTACCTGCTCAGTCGCCTGAAGAGTATTTTCGAATAGCTGTGTACATCCCCCTTCTGGACGCTGTAATTACTGACTTTCAGGATCGATTATCTCAAGAAACACTTGATTTATTCAAGCTAGGTTTCATTTGCGACTAGACAGACATGGAGGATTATAAGATCATTCGATAGCGACTCCAAAGGCCCACCGTTCTTTTTGCGCTCCTAAAAAGTTGTTAGTTTTAAGTTACACCGACATGGAACTCTTTATTGAGCAACTAAATTTTTGTGATTCATGGGTGGGTAGTACCAAAAAGAAGAAAATACGATACAAATTTGATATTTAGTTCTACATCAATGAGTAATGGCAAACCTTTCCAAAGTAGATTGTTCAAGTATATTGCGAGAAAATAGATGTCATGTTCAATTTCTTTTTTCATTTGCACTGAAAAAGCTTCTGGATGTAAGCACACAGTTTGAAGATTCTGCTTTCTTTTCTGGTTAGCGCCCTTACACTCATTTTCAAACTTGCGACCGAACAATAATCCATTCCAGCCTCTGTTAGAATTAGTATAGCAGTTACTTATATTGCACAATGTCAAAGAAACCAGAACGACAGGTGGGTTATCGCCAATGGGTGGAACGCTAAAACACTCTATTTTTCAAGTCTATTTTCCAGAAAATGCTATTTATCATATATAATTGAAAAAATAATAATATGGATTACCCTGTATAAACACAATGATATGTAAAACTGCGCATTGACATCAATGAAATTAAAAGTAGGGAAACAATTCAGATGAACCATCAGCCTGTAACCCTTCTTCTCTTTATTTGGATATCTTGGTAGCCTCCAGGCAGTAAATCATAAAAAAATCCTATTGTATACCGGCATCTGTGTTGGTGTATCTATCCAGTTGAAGGGTGTATGTAAAGCTGGACATACACGCTAATAATTTGCATATCAGCCTGGTTTACTATTATGGATATTCAGTTTCATGATTCCGCTACAATATGATCTGTATGAATATTTTGGTGAACAAATCATAATCAACTGTCTCTACCCACACTCCGGCGATACACGACGCGAATCCGTACAGAAAATTATCAGCGTTTGAAAAGCTTGATTCCATTCTTTAATTTCTTACCTTTCGTCTTTCACCCATAAGCAACTGGTCTATAAAATGCTCAAGTTGATGATTCCTTTATTACGCAACGGCAGATTTGAGAGTGGAAGAATTTGCGGCGATTTTTAATATAATGATAAATCAATCTTCCTATTTTTAAATCGTCAGAACACAAGAGTTGAAAATATGAAATAACTACTTAAAGTGTTTGTCTCTAAGAATTTTGGTTGCTCAAAACTCTTATTGTTATTGTAACCTGTTTATCGCATGTCCTTTCGGTAATCATTACCGTGTATGTTTAGCTTTTGCTTAGAGCATCCATCAGACGGCGGTAAAAGAGATAAAAGAAATAAACCGGCAATAAATTATACTCGAAAATAGAGAGACACTCTACACAAAGACAGGTCGCAGGACGAAGTGTTTCTGCTCCTCTGATTACTCATTGCCGACGGCCTGTTTAATAACTGGTCAGGTTCCCAAACAGAGATTGAGAGATGATTTTTTTCTATGGTAGGTCAAATATATTTGGTATTCAATAGACAAGCCAAAAAGGTAGGTTGCGCAAACAATAAATTATAATCCATCAGTTCATTGTTATCATAAGGTAGTGACTGGTTCAATAAAAATTCAAATGATTATGGAGTACTCATATATATATCTTAAATCATTAGATTTAGAAATAACTTTTTAACAAAATTTATTTGAGGACTGAACCTTCAGTCCATATAAAATACAAAGGTTTACAAATGTGACATTTACGGAGTTTACATAAGTGACTGTTACGGTGCCTAGCCGGGTAATGAACGACATGAAATGGGCGCAAGGCCTATTTATACTATTGGTGTGCTTACAAAGCACTTCTAGAAAATAAAGCGTAAACAACGTGTTAGCGAGAAGTCGTTATCTGTTGCTGAGCTAGCGTCTGGTGCAACATTGTATGGAATAGTAAGTCCATTGTTTTGAGTGCATATAACAACTTCCCCCTATTACAAAAAGTTGTTGCCATGCGACAACTTTTGATAAAATTAGAAAAGTGTAAAAGATGTAAAAATTCAAAAATGTAAAAATGTAGAAATGTAAATTGTAAACATTGTAAAATATAAAAATATAAAAGTAGGAGTAATAAAATTGCAAAATAACATCAGAAAATATAGATTCTGAAAAATAAAATTGTTAGCATAAATGCGGTACATTGGCGATGCTAAATAACATCTAAAAGCAAAGCTGGAACAAACAAATAATAAGATACAATCGTACAGTCGTACGGGCAAAATCACATGGTAGATAACACGAAAATTGGAAATGTCTTTTTGAACAGTGAAAACAATTCACGGAACACTCACTGCAGTTCGATGTCTTCTTCATGTGGCTGGATGGTTGGTCTACGTCGAGGAAAAAGTCTGGGAATGTACCGGACTTTTGGTGCTCCTGGAGATGGGCCATCGGCTGGATAATTTGATGCGCGGATGCTGAGTGGTCTTCGTTTTCTGCACTTGCAGAACAGGTACAAAGCTACGATGATAACTAACAGGGTGATGATAAAATACGTGAACCATGAGAGATGTCTCGAAACAAACGGCTCGTTCATAATTTTGTCCAGTTGTTCAGAATATTGGTTCAATTTGTGATTGGCAATTTCGAGTTCTTCAGTATCGATCTTGCTTAGCTTGATCGGTTTTAATTTTGGTAAATTTTGTTTCTCTGGGAGATGTTCACAGCATTTGTAGGGTACTTTTACAGGGTGACTTTTGTATGTGATATTCTTGTAGGTGCTAACAGAATATCTAGAATGTAATCTCGTGGTGCCTACAAAGCCACTGCATTCGGGCTGCATTTTTAAAAGTGAATTAACTTTTATTACTTTGGTGGTAGTCTCTCGTTGTCCACACTTCATCGTAATTGGCAGAGGGCTAGATATGGTGATTAGCCAAAAATTGGTTGCAAGTTCTTGGATTTTGTAATCTTGCAATGCCACAATTGCTATTTGGCAGGCTGTCGGCAGATCGACCGGATTTCGCAACAACTGTGCTTCGCAGACTGCATTACTGTCTATTGGATACGGCAAGAGGTTGAAACAGATTTTCACCTGAGACTGAAGAACTTTACAACTACCTAGGTTTTGAAAGGAAACGTACAAAAGAGAATCGCTATCTTTAGCAATGTACCTCTGTATAGTGGAGACTACATGAAACAAACCAGTACGTTTATCGAGAGTGGGTAGAGGAATCACTCTGTATAAAGTATACATTTCGGGCTCTAATAACGGGATGCGTAGAACGAATACTACTCTTGTTTTAGTTTGATATGCTTCAAGTTCCATAAGATTAAGGTACTCTGACACTGTTGCTAAATTAACCGGAAGGGGTAAATTATTTCTCGACAAAGTGTGAGAAATTTCTTGAAGAGAATTTACTAAGTCTTGAGGAGTGATAATAGAAGGATGTATTATTTTTAAACGTGCAAAAGTAATTGAATTTAGAATATCATTAATTGTCTCTTCCAGAAACATGTAGCTTTCCATTAATTGTTCGCAAACTTCTAAAAATTGGAATTTAGCTTCATAAAATGCAAGATCGTCTGAAATTTCATAAATTTTATTTTCAATGACTTTAATATCTTCATTAACCTTTAACTACTCGCGCATTTTTATTTCACGTTACTACTCGCGCGGTGTATTTTGTACACCGTTGCAAGTTATGATCCAAATATATGTTTTGTTTGCCCTATAAGTTATAGCTGTGGTAATAAGAGCAACTGTTGAACTCAAATACATATTTATTAGCAAAAATAGTAAACAAAATCAAATAAGACAGTAAAAATAAATTGAAAAAAACAACCATAATTAATAATTCTCTATTCACTATGGGATCCGCCTTCCTTACATTTGTGGCAGGTGATAACGTTGACACTATGCTCTTTACACACTAACTGGTGACAAATGCTGCATGTAATTGTGGTAACTCTATTTTTTTTTCGGGCGCAGATGGAGCATCTTCCTCTAATTTTTCTGGGTGGCTCCTCTTCTTCATCCATTTGAGTTTGTCTATATCTGGATAGGAAATGTCTGATATCTATAGGTAACGTAGGTATTGCAGCTCTTTCAGAAAGAAAAGGTTTCATCAATGACAGAGCAAGAGTTTTCAGGAAAATTCTTCTGGACTTGTGAGGAGATTCAGGGTGAGTGCCGTTATACAAAATTTGGCTATTGATGCCTGCTATATTTAGCAACTGAAAGAAGAAAGCCAATGGCCACCTTTTTGTTCTTCTTCCAACAGAATAAGTATTGCACATTTTGTCCACTGTGTCCACACCCCCTTTGGTCATATTATAATCTAGAATTAGGTTTGTTGGTATATGGATCAATAGTGGAGTCGTCGTGCATAGTTGAAATCAAAACCACGCATTTATTTTTTTTTTGGACATGTGAAACTATCGTTACATCCTTTTGGAATCCAAAAAGTGATGACCCAACCAACCTATTTTTATTTGGCAAGAACTCTATCGGCAGCTCTCGCTTATTCTTCTTCAGGGTTCCGATGAAAGTTATTTTGTCTTGAAGAAGTTCCACTGCCAAAGGGTAACTTGAATACCAATTATCGGAGGTTAGATTTCTATTGCTTCCTTTTTGTTCTGCTAGCAAACGGTGAACGATGGCAGTTGGTGTATTAGATTGGCTATATTGGCCATCTGGTTGTTTTCCACAGTACAGCTCCAAATTACTCACATAAAATGTTCTAGCATCACAGAGCACAAATGCCTTCAAACCATATTTCGCAGGTTTGTTTGGTATGTACTGGACAAAGCTGCATCGTCCTCGGAACGCAATCAACATTTCGTCTATTGTCATAAATTCGCCCATAGAGTAGTTTTTTTTGCAATTACTTACAAATTTATCTAAAACGTACCGCACTGCGGCCAATTTATCTATTTTCTTGCGTTCATGCCTTGTTGTTTTGTCATCAAATCGAATATTTGCCAGCAGAAAAAGAAACCTTTGATAACTCATGCAAGCTCGAAATATTTCTGATCCGGTACCGTCTTTTGTCCATAATTCCAAAAAATGGGTGTGGTTTTGCTTTTTAGATCCAGATAAAAACAGTAAGCCTATAAAAGCCAGCATTTCCGTTTTTGTAACGTCCTTTGCGTCTCGTTCTCGATCATAGTTTTCCCTAACTCTTGAAATTTCTAAATTAGTACAGTGAATAATATGTTCAATCATTTCATCATCAAAAATTTTCGAAAACGCACTTGTCTCATCGGTTATGTCACGTGCGCATTGCTTTGGCCCTGGTAGTATTTTTATAATGTTTTTTATTTTGGACTTGCTGGATTTACTCATGGGATAATTTTTATACCAAATAGTCTTTTTGTCTTTGCCAATATACTTATCTTGTTTATTGGCCGCTAACACCGAGAGCAGGATATCTTCAGAATCAGAACTACTTTGATCAACATCCACTTCATCCACTTCTTCTAGTTCGCTTATTTCTTGTTCTGAATCCGAATTGTGTGCTTCTTCCTCTACTTGTTCACTTCCATCAGAATCTCCTTCTCCTCCAACTTCTTCCTCGGTATCCGTATCACATATAACTTGGGCTATAGCCGCTAATTCATCTTGGGTCAATTTTTGAGGATTTTTCACCTTAACTCGATTCCTTGAATGAATAAATCAATTAATTCAAAACATATAATCGATGTTTAATTATATACAAATATACAGACTACATTACAAATAAGTTTTCATGGAAAACCTAAAAAAAATACATTCCACTATCTACTTACATAACTGCTCGCCTTGGTGTATTTTGTAAACCACCTCAAACTTCTTGAAATATCTAACCTTGTCCTCTAGCGATCCGAACCGTACTGGCGCTACATCTGGAAGATACATCGAGCGAGGCATACCTGGCTCGGCGCGGACGAACAGCTATTCGCATGGACTCGGCAGCCCTCGGCGCCATTTTGGTGTACTATATACACCAGCGCGAGTAGTTAAAGGTTAAACGTAGTTTCATCAATCATAAGTTTTTGAATAGTGTTATTAAAATTCTTGATAACCGACATGGTAACAGAAATTTGGTTCTTCATGAGGTTTTCGAGCTCATGTTCATCTTTAGAAATTTTGTTAATACAATCGTTATAGTATTCACCGTCCGATGAATCGAGGTTGCCGGTTATTGCTTTCCATACAGTACCTATAGCGTTAATCAGACCGCGTTTCATCCGCGATGCGCTTACAGTGTCATCGAAGATTGCGTAATATTTAGATTCCAAGGAACGAGAAATTTGATAAAGGAGACTTGTATGAGTTTTAATTTCACCACTAAACATTTTCATACGATTGGTGGGTTTGTCTACGAGATATGATAAGTGTTCCAGAATATTGTTGTTATCGTCAAGTGCTTTCTTAATGAGTTCTAAGTCTTTATATACAAGGAGTGTCCAAATGTCGTTGGAAATCTTAAGAGGGGCGTCTTCATGAAAATAGATACCTAAGGTGTTGTTAAGCGGTTTGATGTCTATCTGGGCTGTGACAGCCGCAAGAAACAGCAGACTGCACCTGAAAGAGAAACTAAGTCTCAAAACATAGTTTCAGTCTGTCAAAATTAACTTTACTTATTCTATTTGTTTCCGGGTTCTTAAGGAGCGCAGAATTTTCAAAAACTTGAGTAATTTCGAATGGACCATCAGATTTGTTCTGAAGTTTGTTTGAAATTTGAGACTGTTTCACAAATACTTTATCGCCAATTTTATATGATTGTAAATTGGGTGACACTCTACTATCAAAGCGAATTTTTGCTTTTTGCTTCTGTTCGTCAGTTCTCACGCGGGCAATTTTGTAGTAATATTCGAGTTTATTCCGAATGTCTCGAACATACTTGGACATCAATTCTTTTTCTAAATATGTTATACGTGTTCGGGCGGACGACCAGAGGTGTGGCCAAACACGAGCTCGTATGGTGTAAAGCCAGTAGTTTTATTTCTAGTGCTATTGTAGCACTGAACAGCATAGGTAAGAATATTGAAGGGATGTTCGTCGGGATTAGGAGTTTTGGTGACGTTTTGGCAAACGACAAGTTTGATATTATCATCCGAAAAAATAAAAGAGAAAATTTCTAAAATGGGTAAGTCCAAATTATTTTTAACGTAGATTTGTTGGGATAGGTCGAATACACCTTTGTTGGTTAAAATTACAGAGAAAAGATGCTGTATGTAAGTTACGGGATCGTACGGCACAGGAATAATATAGTATTTCCTATCTTTAATTGTTTTGCTAGACGCGATGTTAATTTTATCTGCAGAAAAATCAAGATTTTCCTCGAATATGTCTTCGATAATTTTTTCGTGAAGATCAGATAGAGTGTTTTGTCTGAAAAACGTGACGATATGTTTATGACTTTTGTCTAGGAGTTGGGAATTTGAAAATTGAATTTTGGAATAATCGATCAGGGATGTGGTTTTGTAAAGGCGGGCAAAGATATCAAATTCACTTTCGGAAAATTGGGTAGAAGGTTCTCCTTCTTCGTCACTATGGGTAAGGGCGTTAACAGTTTTGGGTAATTTGATACGTGATAGGGCATCGGCATTTTTATTAGCCTTGCCTGGCTTGTACACTATTTCATAGTCGTACTCCTCTAGTTTGAGGCGCCATCTTGCTAATCTACTTCCGGTGTCTCGGCAAGAGAAAAGCCACGTAAGGGGTCTATGGTCTGTTACGAGTTTAAACTTTCGACCATACAAATAAGGTCTAAAATGTTTTACACTCCAGACAATAGCTAGAAGTTCTCTTTCAATGGTGGAATATCTCGTTTCTGCTTTACAAAGTGTACGAGATGCATAGGCTATCGGGAGATCTTTACCTATGGGACCTTGGGAAAGAACGCCAGATATCGCAAAAGCGCTTGCGTCTGTTGTAAGCACAAAAGGCTCTTCAAAGTTGGGGTAGATCAGTATAGGAGATGTTGTTAAAGCATTTTTTAAAGTATCAAATGACTTAACACACTCGCTATCAAAGTCAAATACTGCGTCTTTCTGTAATAGTCTGGTAAGGGGTTTCGCAATTTTGGCAAAGTTTGGTATAAAGCGTCGGTAGTAACCTGCAAGACCTAAGAAAGATTTTATTTCTTTAGGATTCTTGGGTTGAGGGAAATTTTTTATGCAATCCACTTTATCTGGATTGGGCTTAACGCCATCAGGGGTTATTACATGACCAAGATAGGCTACTTCCTTTCTGAGGAATTCGCACTTATCAGGCTGGATTTTGAAATTCGACTTCCGAAGACGCGTAAAAATTTCGGTAAGCCTACTGATGTGTTCTTGGATGGAGGGGGAATAGACAATTATGTCATCCATGTATACAAGACATCTTTCGTTTTGTATACCCATCAAGATGTTGTCCATGACACGTTGAAACGTGGCAGGAGCGTTCTTGAGACCAAAAGGCATCCTCAAGAATTGGTAATGTCCGTTTTCAACTGAAAATGCAGTTTTAGGAACATCAACTGGATTTATCTCGATTTGATGAAATCCAGATGCCAAGTCCAGTGTACTAAAGTACTGGCATTTCCCTAATTGATCAAGTAGATCGGAAATGTTTGGCAGGGGATATTTATCATCGATGGTGATTTCGTTGAGCTTACGATAGTCAATCACCATACGCCATTTCTGTTTACCAGAGGCGTCCATTTTCTTTGGTACAACCCACACCGCAGAATTCCATGGCGATGTGCTAGGTTCGATAATACCTTGTTTTAGTAATTTCGAAATTTGATCTTTGACTTCTTGCTTGTGGACATAAGGGTATCGGTAGGATTTGGTAAAAATTGGTTTACTGGTAGTGGTATCAATGGAATGCTTAATTTCGTTTGTAAATGACAGGCTATCACCATCTAAATAGAATATGTCCGAAAAATCTAAGCAAAGATTCGTAATTAAGTCTTTTTCCTCTTCGTTGAGATGATCGAGACGTAATTGATCTCTAATAACATCTCTACGGTTATACTGACTTTGATTTTGTAAAGAAGTGTTGAAATTATTGATAGAAGTTTCGTTAAAGGGCTCGAAAGTTAATTGGGGTAAAATTACATTTTTTGGAATGGCATTACAGTTTAATACTGTAGTAAGGAATTCGCCTTTAGAATCAATTTTAACTATGGAACTGGGTAGACGGACTTTTTCTACCTCACACGCCAGAAGAATGGCTTCAGTATTTCTAAGCTCGGATTTGAGCTTGACAACTTGTTCAACTCTGGGAGGAATGGAAATAACATTTTGAACTTGAGAATTTTCTTTAAATTGCGAAGCTGACTTTTCTTTAAATTGAGAAGCTTTGGAATTATTTTCGTCACCTACTTTGAAAAGAGGGACTGTTTTGAAATTTGTAATCAATTGACGATTTTTCAAATCAATAATACAATCATAATGTTCAAGAAAATCTGACCCAAGAAGGCCATCGAATGAAATATCTAGATCATGGACATAAATTTTGTGATAATCATTGGGAGCAAATGGGACTAAGACTGCTTCGGTAATACTAATTTTTTCGTCAGTAATACCTCGGATAGAGATATTTTCTGCGACACGATTAGTATAATTTTGACAAGTGTTATGTTTGAAAATGGAGCAACCTGCACCACTGTCAATGAGAATTTGGAATTTTCCAGTAGCATCTTTAATGTAATATAAGTTATCTGGGCTAACGGGGTGAATTGTCGACGGGACTATAAACGGAGGGTTTATATGAACATCTGATCGCATGTGTTGCTGACGCTCGCACACGGTTTCGCGTTCGGGTCCTCGACACTGAGATTCGCTAAGTTCGCCAACAAATGTATCGGCGGTTTGATTATATTCGTAACAATAATCGTTACTGGGTTCTCTAAAATCATCGTATGGGGAAGGTGTGTAGGCGGAGTACTGGGTATCGTCATATTCATTAGCGTAGTCCGTGTTGTATAGGTCTGGTTCACCGTAGTCGGAATAATCGTAAGAATCGGGGGCGACATAATTAATTCGATTGGGAGGATTTTGTCTAAAATTTCTTTGAAAATTAGGGTTTTGGAAATTTGGATTGCTCTGAATTACAGAGGGTCTTGGCGCACTCGCGTTAGGCACATTTGGTCGTATTACAGATGGTCTGGGAGGATATTGATTAGAATTTTGATGGTAGTTAGATGTAGATGGTCTAACTTGCATAGGTTGATTCGGCCTAGGGTAATTTTGAGGTTGGGGCTGGTTAAACTGTCTTGGGGCAAAGCTTGTAGACTGTTGTCTCCGTTGGCATTCATTTGCCAAGTGACCGGGACGATTACAAAAATTACAAATTTTAGGGTTTGGTCTTCGAATAACTGAATTTTGATTCGGGTTTGGGGCCCTGGCGAATTTTTGTCGTTCCAAATATGAAAGTTGTAACTCTCGTTTGATATACGAAACTGCGGTCAAGATATCCGTGGGATGTCCTGATCGCACAACAGGTCCTATTTTTGAGTCTAATCCTGTTAATAGACAATTTAAAGTCATCGTTTCGATGAGGGAACTTTGAGCAGATTTTTGCTCGCGATTTAGATTTTGCCTATTCACGGCGGAATGCATTTTGGCTGCATGCGTCTGCAGTCTGGATGCAAAGGTTAGGGGTGATTCGTTGGGGAGTTGGCGCATGTGTTGAAGATCCGCGATTAAAGATGTGAGATCTCTAAGATCTCCAAAGTGGGTTTCTAACAGGGACCGTACGTCTTCCCACGTGGAAGGGTTTCGGCTGTTCACAAGTTCGGCGGCACGTCCGCGAAGTTTGTTTTTAATATGTAAAACGACGAGAAGCCGCTGCTCCTCGACGGCCATTTGATATGCCGTTCGGCACGCGTTGATGAAGGTCGATAGCAATATCGGGTTTCCATCGTACTCGGGTACAATCGAAAATATTTCAGATAATCTATAAGGT